GGAGGGGGAGCTGCCACTTCCCCGCCACCGTCCCGCACCTGCAGCCCCTGCAGGCAGTCCATAGGCAACCCAACGTACTGGCATGTCTTAGCCTGGACACCCGGTACATCTCGTTGTACACGGGTTGGCCGTAATCTAAAACTACGGCCCAGGACCGGCCAAAACGAATTGATGGAGCGAATCCTACGCGTTTAATGTTGAGTTTTCCTAACAATGCACTAGGATCAAAGTGCCTCCGCACCGTTCCGCACGATACTGTACGGCATGGTGCCGTGCGCAACTATGTTGGCGACCAGAATTCTCATTACACTTCGTCTTCCCAGGCTCCCTCCTTCCCCTGTTACTCACCCTCGCTTTCTGGCGCGCCTCCTGCGCGCGCTGGCCATACAGCGACCAGGTGGATTACGGTAGAATGAAAGTCTCGCTCCTTTTGTTGTGGCGTTGGCTTGTTTAGCAGGACTCTGCGCTGTTGACGATCGGCACAGCAAGCGGGCAGAGGCTGAGAGTGAGTGTTCCCACGTGTCGCTTCTCCATCACTCTACCCGAGATTTCAAACGTGAAAAACAGAAAAAGATTCACACGGCAAGCTAATTCGTTAGTATTTGGACTGGTAACTTGTTCCTGGAACAACGAAATGAGGTATTGCGATTATTTCCTGTACCCGGCGAATATCGACTGTGTGAAATGTGTGAAATAATATGCAGATAGTAGGAACATACGCTCTCAGAGTCAATTTTGGATTGCTCCATAGTCAATGAGCGTTTAGTAGCTCTAGTTTGCAGAAAAGGATTCGCGAATCCTTTTCTTTTTTTCCATGAACTTAACTTGACCACAAACTGAAGCCTCCACAGTTTGTTGCTGAACTGTGTTCGGAGATCAGTCAAGAACCAACACTGCGTGCGTCATCTTTCAACCCGAGACGATAGAGCTATCATACTCGACATTGTGGCACATTTCACTTTGGCAATTCCGCATAGGAAACTCCAAACACCACTGTATCGCATATACACGTGGAGACGTGGAGGACCTATCTGTCCGAAATGTATATTCCGCTGGACAATGTGTTGATCGGGAAGGGGAGGGTTTGGGGGGGGGGGGGGAGACTCGCTCTGCCTACGCATTTCAGAGCTTCAGAGCTCCCGTGCCGGAGCCGGAGTCCTCAAAGTGGCGGTCAGCAGGATATCGAGCAGCCCCGCAGAGTCCGGCCGGTCCGGGGCGGCCCAACCCCTTATCTCTGGTCACGTGACGGTCTATCCTTCGCCTCCACGCTTCTGGGAAAGGGGCGGATTACAATCACGCATTCAAAGGGGATCCTACAGAGGGGCGGGCGCACACTGTTGAAAGTGGGAGCTGCCCAACATTTTCTGATTTCAGATCAGCAAAACATAATTTTGTCCAGTAAGCTCAAATATATTTGTTTCCGCGGGCGTTTTATTTCGTGGAGACGAGTTTTTACCCATAGCAGAAATCAAGTACTTGTTCCATTATTTATTCTAGAATATCGCGCGACGCGTTTTGTGAGGAGTGTGAGAAACGCGAGCACTTGTTTGGGAGGGATACGATTGGTTGGAGGACAGCTATCAGGGGGCGCCCCCCACTGCCGCCGCCCCCCAACCTGCACCCCATTCCCAGGTGAGCGATAAATACTTTTTTTGTCGGCCTTGGAGTGGAGCAGTAAGCCAGTCTCACGCGATACCGCAGCGATACATACCCGCCTGCTCTAGAGCTATGACATTTTAAACGTTGATAGCGTGTTGTCGTTTTCTTTTTGTTTTTTGTTTTTAAATTTTAAAACTTGTGATTGTTAAATTTGATTAGTCTTTTGCCTAAAGCAGATTTCAATGGTTGTTCAGTATGTAGTGTGTGGTCGCGAAAAATAGTTTCACATGTAATTTTGAAAGTTTCAACTGTGAGTCTCCTAGCGTTTTTTGTGGTTTTGACTTCATTCATTGTGTTGAAGTAGTTATTGTTTTACAAGTAAAAGAGTCGAACTGTGAATAATGGGCGGTGCTTCACGTCGCGGCGGGTGC